ATAGTGCATCTAGTCAGGCCTACGGACCTACAGACCAGGAAATCCGGGAAGAATATACTGCAAAAAGAGATAAGAGCTCATTCTGTAAAAGTGCCTTACATCTTGTAGTGTGCCTTGAAGGAAACATTAGCATACTGCTAAGGGGATATAGGCCATTTGGCATTCCCCAGGGATTTTAAGAAAGTCTTCCAGCAAAGAAACTAAGTTCTGGTGAGATAATAGAGATGATGGTCTTCATGTGGATAAATAAGCAACTATCTGGTAATTTCCTATAAAAAATGGAAAGTAAAAAGCACGAGTCAGTTTTCCCAGAAGAAGATTGTGCTCCGGAAGGTCTACTCTGTGCAGCTTGTTACATAAATGAGCTGGAAAGGAAAATTATTAATGCATTGGCACATTTTGATGATAGAAACCTATTCAAAGTACTTAAGGTGAGGACAGATTGCAAACAGCTATAGAAAAACTTCACAGTACTGACTGTCAGCAAAGTGATGGCAGATGAAATAAAGTGCTGATAAATCTCAAGCAAAACATGTGGAAAAAGCTATCCCAAAATTATGTGCACAGTAATGAGCTCTTTAGGCCTTTCAAACATTCCTTTAGCACTCATGAAAGAGGTCTTGGAATAATCATAACAGAGTCTTCTGAAAACATCACATCAATACTCAGGACTGTTCATAGAGCCAAATTAAATGCTAAGAATTACTGAGAAAGCAGAAATCATCATGATGCCATAGTGCAAGCCCCTGTTATACCTATATCATGTATATAGTAGGAAATGTTTTGGTTCCCAAATATAAAAAAGATTATAGCAGATTAGATTAAAAGTAACCAAGGACAGAATAAATGGTGTAGGAGTGGGGCTCATCTTATGTAATTTCTCATCTGTCAGGTAGCTGTCAGCATGTGAACTGGTTACCTAAGCTCACAGTATAGTCAATGAGAATCTACTCATTTCTGTTGCAATTCAGAATGTGATTCATACCATCTTATAGTGAAACCTTACATAATGTTCAATTGCCGGTTTTCATTAGCTATTGAAAATAAAGGGACCATGTGGCAACTTGCTCAGATGTTAATACCTTATGGATATCCACATGTAATTAAATATATCCTGGTCTTTGTATCTTTAACAAGAAGAAGGAAAAAATAATATGGAGGGTTTGTAGATATTGCAAAGGCACAAAGTCCACTAGGAATGGACTTTGGATGTTGTCTCTCATGAGCTAAGAATTAGGGACATCTCAGGTGGGCCTCTAGTGATAGGTTTAAAAAAATCAAAAAGGACATGGTCCTTTAACCTAAATATTGAGCTTACCATAGGGTGTTTTGGATAGTAAATGCATATGTTAGTCCAAAAACAAAGTATATAATTCCATGGAAAAAGATTCCATTGAGGTCCATTTGATATAAAAGTACAGCTTCTGGCTGCATAATCTCTGAGAGTTAAATTGCTGGGCTGGAAGAGAACAGCAAGGAGCAGGGATGCTGGTGCTTCCTTTTACCTTCTTCCCTAAGCAATTGTATTGGCTCTTATCAGACAAGGGACTGGACAAGATGAGCTTTCCATCTGACTGATTATGACCACTCTGCATTCTCTAGACTTTTAATATATGTCTGGTTAAGATGTCTGTGGCATGTGTCTTCTAGAGTCCTTACTAATTTTCCAAGGCATTTTAAAATATTTTCTGACGAGACTGTATGGATCATTTAAAATCCAATCTACCACCTACAGTATAACAAACCATTGGAATTCTTTCTTGCATAAGGGCAATTATAATGAAGATAATTTGGGGCTGGTTGTCCTGTTGCTGTTCATACTGTGAACTCATTTACATCCTGAGCAGTTTAATGGGTTCAGACATGTCTCCTTGTGGTAGTAATACTCTACTACTCACCATGCATGTTTGTTTTTAAATTATCAACAATATAGTTACCTAAATTTTTCTGACATAAACCTGTTATATGTATAGTGGTCTTTATGCAGAAGGAAAAAAATAGAAAAAAATTAATCAGTCTTCTACTATACCAACCAATTATTAAAAATATAAATATTTCTCTTAAACATTTCAGTCATACTGATGAAAATTAAAATCCAGGAAAAATTCTAAATTTCTTCTTCTACAGATGCCAAGTACTGTAGAAAATATAGAAATTATTACTGTTCAGTAATTCTGTTTAAACAGTTGTTGGAAAAATATAAGAACTCACACTGAATTTTTCTTACTCTGAAACAAAAGCCTAGCTCTAAAATCATGTACTTTGACTGATGGAGTGGTTGTCTGTGATAATCTGTTGCTTAAAGAAGCCTTATAGTCACTGACTTCTTAACTATAGAATGTCATATGCCAATTCTTTCTATGAATATTTTTTTTTCTCTCTACAGTTTTAATTGTAAGTTTACAGGTATTAATTAGGTAACTATTCATTGACTAGAGTTCTCTTTATGTTCTCACTGTTGGTTATGTTTTGATTTTTCCAACTAATAAAAATACCAGTAAAAATTCAGGCTTAATGATGATAGAATACAGAAGGTCAAATTTAAAGACAGAGCAAGAAGTATTGCATTTTGTACATTGGAAAATTAGGATCACACTGGAAAGATCATTATCCTTGCAGCACAAAAAACACCTTAGGTTAGTTATAATGTTTGTGTGAGTTACCTAATGATTTATGTCAGTATGCAAGTGAGACCAGTGCTTTCTGGTCAACCTTGCAGATGTAAATAACAGGTCTGAAATCAGCCAGATACTAAAATATATGTTTAAAAACAAGTGCTTGATAAGCTTAGGCCTGTGTCCTATTGTCATACAAATAATAGAAACTTTACTTGATTTCATGCAGGAACTGCATTAAAGTGCATTGTAGTGTGGGAACTGATCTTTGTATCTGTTGGTCTACACGTATTCTACCAACGGTTTTTATTTTATATATATATACAAAGATTTCTTGTGTGGTTTAATTTTTATTTTGTATTACTTTTAATAAATATTATATATTATACTAGCTCTAAATATATGCAAATGTATATTTGTATTTATATGCAGTGTGGGCATTGGTGACACTAGCTTAGAGGTGTTCTCTCCTCCTGGAAACCTAGCAACACTAGAGGAACCAAGTTGATCATCCCAATATAAGCCACAGAGTCATGGCCAGGGACTTGGGCCGTGAAACCAGCAGATCACAGGAAAGAAAGCAGTAAAATAACTGTTTACAAGTGAAGTGTTCACACAATGGTGTATATATATCTCTTCAGCCTGTGAAGTTTTTACTTTGCAACAACAAATGTCTATTTTTAAACCATGTTGTTTGTTCTCTGAACTCAACTACTAACTAAAAAGTTCAGGGTAAGCACATATATAACTCTGTGGGACAAAACCAAACAGGAGCTCTCTTCTTTTTCTTTGTATTTCAGACCTTGCTCAACACTAAACTGTTAATCAGTATTCTCTACAGTAATGTCAGTTGTGTTCCAGTGGTATTAAAACTGGTGAAATGGGGAAGTCAACTGTTATGTCATGAACTCAGTGAATGCATCTTCTGTCACACTGTGGCACTTGCATCATTCTCTGTGCTTCACTTTGCAAAATGCACACCCCTTCTGATGGTATATTTTACAGATTTATCATTAGAGTCATTCACTGCACAAGTGCCACTTAAATCAGTCTAACTCCTTATGTTGTAGGGTAATTTAACATAATTGAGGGAAACCAAGTCTGTTTTTGAAAGACATTTGAGGAACAATTTTTCAATAATGTTTACCTTTAGTGCTGTTTATGGCATTCTAATGCCTATGAATGTCTTTATACTATTTACTCTTAAGGTTCACTGAGATAACTGGATAGGCTCTGTTTTTAACTTATTTTGTATCATGTGTCGATGCAATACTAGGCCATAATCTGAGGTTATTTGATTATCTATAATGAGATGCAGACCACATGTGGTTTGTATTAAAAATACTGAGAGAAAGGAGCTAGAAAGCAAGCCTAATACAGAAAGTAAATTATTCTGCCTTTGTGTGTAGACAACATATTGCAATAAAATGTGCTCCTGAGAATGACAGAATTTGTCCTTTAGAAATGACTCATTGTTACATTTTGACATATTTTATCACATTAAAGATTCATAAATGTCTCCTAAGAAAAGATAGATATGGAGCACTGGAAGATCTACATAGAGATTACTCTCTTTGATAAAGTCATGATGCCTCGAATTTATCTGAAGGTACACAGATGCATCACGGAAACATCATCATCAGGTTGTTGCTTTCAAAAACAAGAAGGTTGTAACCAGCAGTTTCTGGTTTCCACATGCATTACTGAAATTATTAGCTAGGTTGAAATTATTAGCTGTGCATAAGAGCAGGAGATGCATGAGTCATGTAGGCAGTGTTGGGATTCATAGCAATTTTTCTTTTTCTTTTTTTTTGTTTGTTTATTTGTTTTGGGGCTTGTTTGTTTGTTTGTTGTGCTTCCCATTTCTAACCTTTTGTTTGTTACATGTAAGATATGGAGGGTAAGATCACACCCCTAGTGGGGTCTGTAATTGTTTTGTCATTGCTTCTCTTGTTTTCTTTGTTGCATTTGTGAACAGCTGTCATACTCTGTTTTCCTGTGTTAAACAGTATTTATCTCTCCCATCTATCCCAAAGGAATTTGTGTTACACATGTAAAGGATGAGGCAGGACAGAAGTGTGCTCTGCAGTGCACATCCCAGTGGGTGTGCTAGTTGGAAATGTTGTTTAACTCGTCAAAAATGGCTATGGGCTATGAAGGTTCCAACTCCATAGCACCTTCTGAAACACTGGGTCTTACCCTTGAGACCTAAAGTTTATATGAAGTTATATAAAAAGACTGGTAAAAAACTGTATCATGACAGATATGCTCCTTCCTTTTAGCTTGATGCGTATTATCTTTACATTACTAATCAGCTGGTAGTAGAAACAATAGTTTTTGAACTTAAGGCTTATCTTTATTGATAATTTTATTTAATTCACACAGGTTTATCGAGCAGAACTTGTACCCCTTAAAGAAAAAGTGCATCAAGTCAATGACCTTGCTCACCGGTTCACTCCCTCTGATATCCAACTCTCCCAGTACAATCTCAGCTGTGTGGAAGACCTGAACACCAGGTGGAAGGTGCTACAGGTACATTGCATATGACTTTTTCTTTGTGCTACATTTAGGTAGATGCTTTTATTTCTCTATGCTTGCTTGTTCCCTATGAAATAACACCAAAGAGAACTGAGGAATCAAAGATGAAGCAAGCTTTCCATAATGGTGCCTCTATGAGAAAATAGTAGTTAAACATGATGCTCTACTTTCATATGGTTCTGAATATTTTATCAAATAAGATTAGGTAGCCCAGTTTCTCATATGGTGAAACGATTAGGTTAAAATACTTAACAGTTTATATACCTTTTAGTATTAATATTTAGCAAATCTTGCTGCCTAATATATCATGTGATCATTTATCACATGGCTTATCCATGTTCTATGGTGTATATGGAAGATTCACATAAGACAGTTTACTTCTGCTGCTTCATTCCTTTTAATTTGGCTTAAATAATTTCTGGGAGCAGCAGTTTTAAATAAATTCCTTATAGGTTAATATAGATTAATGATTCCGTGAAGTGGAATCTGTAAAATCACACCCATAGAATCAATTATTAAATTACAAGGCATTACATTCATTCAGGTAATTAGCAGGACTTGATACTGCAAGTAAAGCTGCTCAGAATGGGATTTTACAATTTGAGCTCTAATGCAGAAAAGAAAATAAGATGTATTGTAGAATTAAGGTGAATATCCACCATAAGTTATAAACACTGAAAAATTTTACGAATTCTTATCTTGAGATAAAGACTTCAAACATTCATGGGTTTTTTTCCAAAGTGCACTGTATCTTAGCTTAGAATTTCAGGAACAGTGTGCATTAGAGAGCATATGTAAGCACGTATGCACCGGTGTAGGGTCATATAGGTTCCATAGCAGGGGAGTGATTAAATGAAGCTAAATGCAATCACATTTACTTCATTAAGTGCTGAATTTAACTTGCTATTTTATTTCTTGCTATATCACTGATTCACATTTTGAAACTGTGTTGTATTTAATTTAGTATTTTGTAAAAATGTAGAACCATGGGGTTTAATAAAGAGCTTTTCTTTCATTGTAAAACCCAAACGTTATCAATAGACAGAAATTAACCAATTCCTTCTTTTCCTACAATGGTGCTGTGAATTCTAATAGTCAGCAAGACTTTATTGTTTCTTTATTGCTTATCCAAAAGAAATCTTACAGCTCTGTGACATCTCCAGTTTATTCTCAGTTCATGCAAATATTAACGGACTTTTTTTTCCTAAATCAAAACTTTGCAATGAGAGTGATAGTTTAAGTAAAAGATCATTAATTCTTTTGTCATTACTGCACACTTTTTCCCAGATCTTCATAACAGAGTTCAGGTTATATTATTAATTAAAACAAATCAACAGAAATATGGAAGACAAAATGGGTATTCCCAATATGTTTATCCACGTATGAGAGAAATCACATCCGTTTAGTTTTTATAAAAACAGCAGCTGATTAAATTAACAGATATTCTGTGATTCATTGAAAACTACCTTATTTCACTGCTAAAATAATTAATTCCAGTGATCTGATGAAATATTCTTCATTACTTAATCGAGAAATAAAGGAAAGCAGGAAGATTTTTCATGTTAAAAGCATCCAGGATACGAAAAATTCAACAGATCTGGGAGAAAGCCCAAGAATGTGTTTTGTTGTTATTCATAAATGCACTAGAAAAAGGGCCAACCAGATATGGTAGATCATTTAAAAATATATACGGCAGGTCACACGTTTGCACACAGTTCAAAGATAATATGTTGTTTTCCACAGAGCTCAGGAAACATTGTGAACAATTCCCTTTTCATTGTAAATTATTGTCTTGATTTATCGAACCCACATTTTTGGAAACAAAGTGTTTCATCTTCTCTGGAGATAGATACTTGGAGACAGTATGTCAGAGTGAGATCTTATTGCTGATGGAACAGATAGTTACTTGGAATATTGTGGTTTACTTCTTTTTTCATATTTACCTAAATGTCATTTGGAAGATACAGAGAAAAAGATGAAGAGTCCAGTAAATTTTTAAACACATCCTGAGGGGAAAAGACATAAGTAACTTTGAAGGATTATCGTATACAAAAGGCCAAGTTCTGACCCCTAGAAAGAAGAAGGGCACATCTGTTCCTATAAAATAACTTTTTACTTAGAACAGACTTTGAGATGCATTGAGACGTAGAGCTCATTTTGTTAGGAGAGAATAGAATAGCATAGACTAGAGTAGAATGGTCCAGTTGGAAGAAATGTACAACAATCATCTGTTCTAGATACTAGAACAACTAGTACATACTAGAACAACTGTTCTATGTGTGATGCCTGCTGGACACTGACACACCTGAATGGCACTTTTTAAAGTGTTATGTATTGTTCTGTCTTAGGGTTAGACTTACTTATGTATGACCAGCACTTCAGTTAGGTGTGATATTCTTCATAGAACACTGAAATTTTGGTCATGCAATAGGAAAAGCAAAAATGCAAATTGTTTCATGCAAAACCATTCCCCTTCTAAGGTACGCTCCTGTTGTTTGTTTATGGTTTTCAATTTGTCTGGTGGTTCTGTGATATCTTTCTTTTTTATTAATTGCCTTTATTATACTAATGTCACCTAGAGTATCTCCTTTGTGCTTTAGTCCTTTCATCATATTTTCCATTTGTTTCAGCCTTCTGTGTATTTTCATGTGTCTTTCTTTTACACTGTGATATTTTCTCATTGGCTTCTATTAATTCTTTTTTTCAAAAAGTAATTATTTCCATGTTCTTACTCTTCTCTAGCTTTCCCCATCTTACTTTCTTTATTTCTGTTTGGGGGTTTATTAATCAGTTCTTTCCTTTTTCTAGATTCCTTCTCTTTTTTTTCCCCCTCAAAGGTTAGATCTCTCTCTCTTTGTCATTTTCCTAATGGGGAAAATATTTCTTATCCATGCATCCCAGTTTCTAGAAAATATGACTGCAGGGAAAATCATAAAACAGAGACTTCTGTGCTGTGTCTTGCCATAAAGATACCCATTCTGAAAAAACAGCAAATTCTAGTGTTATGAGAAAGTTAAAGGGCATTTTGTAGAGGAGGAAATCATGTCTTGTTTATTGCTTTATTAATACTGGGACTTACGTAAGATCAGAGGAGGAAATATATCGTTTTAAGCCAAATCTTACAGAGATTTAATACTATATTCATTTTACAAGCATGAGAATAAGGCCAACCATATTCAGTCATTTGCAGTATTTCACAGTGGTTGTACAGTGAGATTAGTGCTGTTAGTGAATAGTATTAAATATTGTTCCAGAATCTTCCCAGAACTTCATTTGTATTTCTGCAGAAAGGCATGTTTGCCATTAAGTTACCTGATTTGTACTCAGTTTTGGTGAACATACACTGGAGTATTACCAGAAGATAAATGTATAGAAAGCACTCAACCAAATACAGACTCAAGCAGCCCTGGTTTTGAAGTGTTGTGTGAGGTGTATTTCATTAATGAAAGCTAATGCATGCAGCTCAGTCACTGAAAACTGTGTCATCATCTGTAGAGTATAAGCAATGTGAAAATAATTAGCTTCGTGCCTTTAATAGAGTTGTTTTGAGGAAAATATGCTGTTTAATTTTTTCATTTTTCTTTAACATGAAAGGAGATGAAATCTTTCCAGGGAGCTATTTGTTATGAATTTCACAAGGAGCTCTCATGTTCAGATCCTGTGTGCTTCAAACAGTATATGTAATGAGATCATCCTAGGGGAAAATGTGTCTTGCAAACTCTTTCTTACTTCCAGTTGACATTTAGGGAGCCGGAGAGTCCAGATTGGTGGGAGCTATATGCATTTCACTTCAGTCAGAGATCTGGTTGGTGTCATTCTGGTCAAAGGGCAAAGCCAAAGCTCCTGACATGCAAAAGAATGCACAAATATCCCACGGAGAACATACACTTCAATTACCAAGAAAGGGTTTTTTTGGTCTAAATCAAACTATATTTGCTCTTATTTAAAACAATACTTTTAACAAACTGAAAAATATAGTAAGAACCGTCTTTCATGCAAAAAAATGCATCTTTTCAGACATTTTGTTAGGGTTTTTATGTTCTAATGCTTTTACTTTTGAAAGTTGTAACAAACTGTTGTCATTTGTGAGTGGTTGTATCTGAGCACATCAAAAACCTAGAGCTAAACCAGCCCAAGGTCTTTTCCAACCTAAACATTTCTATAATTCTCTGATTTCTATATAGTGTGACTGCAAAGAAGCATAAGCCCTAATTTCAGTATCATTCCTAAATCCCCAGCTAATCTTGCACCAGGATTCTCCAGCATGTGGGGATCTGAAGATTGATGTGGTACAAAAGCCACGCTGCCTCTTGTTAGAAGATCCAGCCACTATATTGTTCTGTTCCCTCGAACAGTACTCTCTGATTGCAGGAGCTGTGAAGAACCAGCAGGCTTTTAGTAGCCCTGCAGGCAGTTATCTAAAGTTATATCATCACTTTATTTGTATTCTGCTGAGGACAGACTTTTTACTGAGCTGTGTAATGCGAACTACTGTAATAAGTGTCATTGCTATGAATTATTTCAAATAACAGCATCTTCTGGCTGCTTTGCAAATATTAGCTGATTCTTTCAATCTGTGGTGAGAAATATGAATGAGAATTGCCGTCTGTATTTGCAGAGGTACTAACATCAAGAACGTCAAAGCCAAAAAGGAAACCCCTTCTTTCCTAAAATCAGTGTGAAATTGTGGCTATGCATCAAAGCCTTACTGGCCTCTGTATGTAGATGTCCCACCAAATATTAATGATAGGTGTTTTCAAATATTTGACTTACAGGAATCCTGGGCAGCCATCCTCAGCTCACACCCTTCTTTTGATAAGGGTTGGGCACCAGGGCAAATAAGATGCATCGAGATGCAAGTTGAAATCATCAGTGACCTATCATAACAGGTTTTAGATTTGGGGTTTTTTTAAATATTGCTTTACCTTCTGTCCTCCATGCCTTCTCCAAGAAAACAAATCCTCTGAAAACAAATGAAATAACAACAAAAAATA